TGACAAGTTTGAAAATGTTTAACTACTATCTTATTACATCCAATGGCTTGATTGCCTCTATCATTATTGGGATGACCTAATCTCCAATGCCAGAGATCAAATTGGTTTGGCTCAAAGTTGTAGGTGAACTTGCCCACTGATACCACTCAAGATAGAGTTGAATGTACCAAAGGGAATGCCTCCAGATCTAGGGGGACATGTGGAGTATTCATCTTCGAAGCGGAAAAGAGGATCAGAGTCACTCTGATACCATAAGAAGAAAGGTGTTGAGCAGCTGCAGAAAACGAAATGGGGAATTTGTTAGGTGAGCTAGTAGCTCATCCTTTTCTATTTATACTAAGAAAAGCTTCAGAGTTCAACTACAGTAAAAACGAAAAGTGAAAGTGTAAATAAGCTGACACGTGGCTAGCACTTAATCCTCGCTAGAATAACGACTACTACACACAACGCTGCCGTTTTCATTCTTCTGTTTCTGGTTCCCTGGTTCAGCTGCAATCCCAGCTTCTTCTTTGTTGTTGCTGCTTTCATCTATTATGTTTGTCGACGATTGTCGTCAACCTCTCCTGTCAACGATTGTCAACGAAGCATATTGATATCTAGTGATGCTGGAGGGTGACACGCTAAAACACAACACCAAACTGCGACCAAGTGTAATCGCAGTCCGAAAATGCAGTAACAGGCAAGCTCTAATTGTCAACCCGGGGTCTAGATCTACTGCCTACTCCGTATATATATGTTATCTAGCAAACAAAGTTGAGTGATTGTTGATTTAAGTAAACGCAGTAAAAAAACAGGAAATGATTCGGTTTCCTTAAGCAAGGGAAGAGTCACTCGGGAATGAGTCCCCCTAGCACCTTAGTTAGGTCTCAGTTGTAATTACTTTTGGTTGCTTTACTGCTGATTATACTGCGGAAGATCCGACGGTAGTTTGGAATCTCTTAAGCTGACCAAGCCCTCTCAATCAAACTACCCGGCAGACGACTAGTCTTCACCAGGATAGAACGCTGAGGCAATGAACACAGAAATCCACTACTGGAATTAGATTCCAGTACGAAGCAATGAATCGACTAACTCTCGTATAATCGATTCACTACTACCAATTGAAGAAGCTCTAACAACCTAATCAGATTCGATCTATCTCAGGTTGCAGTAGAAATCAATAAAAGGTGATCAGACTTCAATTGACTCAATCAAAACACTTCAATCGATTATATTCAAGCAATATCACAATCCAAATGTAATTACAATCAAGATTCCTAATACATGGAACTAGGGTTCTATAAACCCAAGTGAGAGAAAGTTCTACTCCATAGAGAGAGAGAGAGAGGAAAATAGAAATCAGAGTAGTCATACTCATAAAGATGAGGAAAATCTGCTCTTGGATGTCAATCTTCACTCCTAGGGATGCAATCTGGGCTTCAATGGTGAGAAATCCACTCCAAATAGCTCCTAGGGTTTGTTCTTCGCACTTTCTCTCTCTAAAACTCTGTTTTAGCTCTAAAAAGTCGACGCCCTCTCCTTTGGCTCGAATCTGCCACAAAAAGGCGATCCTGGGCAAAACACGGTCGAGGGCACGACCGTGTTTTCCTTTTGCCCGTCCGTGCCCTTGCCACGTGTTAAAAACACGCCCACATTGGCCAAAAAACGGTCGTGCCTATATATGGACACGACCGTGTTTTCTGTCACTTCCGCCCGTGTTTTGGACATCGCAGGAGACCCTTCAATCAAGCCTCGACATAAATAACACGGCCCAGGAACACAGCCGTATTTTGGATTTAGTCCAGCCCGTGTTTTTCTTCCTCATCAGTTCAGCTCTCGACATAAATAACACTGGCGTTGACACGCTACGACACAACACCTAACAATGGCCAAGCGTAACCAATGAAAGGGACTGCAATATAGTGGCACAAGTAATAAATATCGAATCCACGGGTCTCTAGAGTTACTATTACTCTGCATCAGTTCATTATCTAGCAAACTAGATTAAGGATTGATTTACTAAACTACTCTACTAACTACTCTACTAATTACAAGTTGGGAACTCACTTAGGTATGATTCCCCCTAGCTCCTCAATCAGGTCCAAGTTGCAATTACCTTTGGTTGATCTACTGTTGATTAAACTGCGCAAGATCCTAAATTAGCTTGGAATCTCTTAAGCTGACCAAGCCCTCTTAGACAAAATACCCGGCAGGCGACTAGCCTTCAGCGGGATAGACTGCTAAGGCGATTCACACAGATCTCCACTACTGGAATGAATTCCAGTACAAAGCAGTGAATTGATTGACTCTCGCACAACCAATTCACCACTATTAATCAAGGAAGCTCTCTTAACCTAATCAGATTCTATCTATCATAGGTTAAAGCAGAAATCAAGAGAATTTTATCAAGATTCAATTAACTCAATAAGTCATGCCTCAATCGATTATAATCAAACAATATAATATCCAAAACTTCATACAAGAAAGATCCTAACATATGGAACTAGGGTTCCTCAAAACCTAAGTGAAGGGAAGTTACTCCATAGAGAAGAGAGAGATTGCAGAAATCTGATCTAGATCTTCAATCTCCATCTCCAAGCTTGATTCCCGAGCTCCAATGGTGAAGAAATCCTCCAAAATAGCTCCAAGAATGTTCCCAAGTCGCTCTCTCTCTAGGATTCGTCCCTTGGGTGTTTGGGAACCAAAACCCAGCTCCCCCTCTCCTTTGGCTCGATATTGGCTTAAAACCAGAAATTCCCGACTCACACGGCCAGGACACACGGCCGTGTGACTTTCCCAGCTGCCCGTGTGAGTGTCCAAACGCGGCGTTTCGATTAGTGGGCAACCAGGCAAACTGCACGGGCAGAGGCCACACGGCCGTGTGGCTCCCCAGGTTGCCCGTGTGGCTTTTACCGAGCCTTCACACAGCCACAAGGTGCAATGGTGCCCGTGTGGCTTCCCAGCTTCTCGCCAAACGTCCAATCTTCGTCCAATCGACCCCGAACTTGTTCCCAGGCCTTCATTCATGTGCTAGGACCTGAAATATCACAAACTAGAACAACCTAGCGTGAAATCGGCCTAAAACGCGAGAATCGACATCTCAAACGACTCAAGAATAGGGGTAGAAACTTGTGCAATTAATGGTTTATCAAACTCCCCCACAGTTAACTGTTTGCTTGTCCCCAAGCAAACCTAACTCAAACCAATGCAGCTCTCCAGACCTCTATAGCAACAAACAACCCCGATCGTCGGTAGAGAATTTTCTAGATCATTTAGCAACTTACGAGGTCAACTGGTCTTCTAAGACGCCTCCTATCTCTCTCAATGCGAGTACTAGACTCAAGCCAGGATCATGAGAAGCATTGGAAGTAAGACAGTCAGTTCATGGATAAGGAGACTCACACAATTCAACAACCAAGGACTCATTGTATCGGGTGCTCTTTCATTTCATATCACTTGTTGGAACCCCTTCTTGTTACTATTTTTTTTTCATTGCTGGGGTTCCAACTGCAGTTTGTATACGCGGTCTGCCCTTATTGGGTGAGCAAGAGCAATTTCTGTACATCTGTCACTCGCCAGAGTACTTCTTTTAACTCCTATTCCTCATTTCGTGTGGAGGGTCAATGAAATTAAGGGGGGTCGGAAGCTCTATCCGTTCCCTTAAAAACACATCCTCAAGTAGGCAAACCGTTCAACGGGTGGAAGTTTTACTTGTACTAGAGACATCTTAGCTTCACCTTGTAGGAATACCCCACTAAGGATCACTAAAATCTCTTCCAAAACCCGATTTTGTGCAATGAACTGTGCCACACACGTTGGGTTTACCCCATGTTTAAGATTTTGATGAATTTGACATAGAGGACCAACTGCTTTTCATTTTCCACATGAGCACCCTTTTTTTTGATACACGAGTCCACAACACAACAAGAGGAGTCATCAATACCACATGAATCAACGGTCCTAAATCCACTAGTTCACAAAATCAACTTGCACAGCAGAGAGACAGATAGGAAAAATCTTATACTTCTACATCCTCCATAGTGCTACAACTACCTCCCTAGGTTGCATATTACTATAGAGACTGTCAATTCAAAGCATACTGAGCAGGCAATTTGCAAGGAAACACGTACTTGGAGCCCTCAAATTTAAAAATTTGGACAGTGGACTAGGCTCCAAGCACACAAACAGCCAAACATTCACCCGCATACATAATCGAACATCCCCCCACACTTAATCACGACATTGTCCTCAATGGAGGAAAGATAAGGAGGTTAGAACGAAGTTACCAGGTCAAGGGTGAATGATGGTGAATGGGGAAGGCGGTGCATTCCAGGAGGAGAGAGTAGTCGGAACACAAACACCACAAAATCTCACAAAGGTTGAGTTATTGACTCTAAAATCAAATAACAAAACTGACTCAACCGAGGAGAAATAGAGAAAGAAATGCAAACCGACTGGTTGGGTTGCCTCCCAACAAGCGCTTCTTCCACGTTGTGAGATGGACGATGGCTCCTAAGTTTCGGTCCACCACCCCAGAATCTCCTTGAAGTTGAGGTTCTCGTTGCTGAGGTGGAGTCTCAAGTCACGAGCATGTGATATGACAGCGACAGGATATGGAAGCTCGTGCACTTGATGCAGATAATGTCTCCACCCTCGAGACCTCTTCTTCTCTTCTCTCGTCTCGTTGCCCCAAACTAGATATGACAACATCGATTGACCACCATCGCGTCCACCAAGAGGGATCGATGTCGATGTGGCCTTGGTCTGGCAAAGAGACACTGCAAATGGGTCCTTGCTAAGTAGTTCCTCGAAGTTTGGTGGGGATATTACTTGCAACTCATGGCCGGTGCAGGCCTCTTCCACCTCAGCTTCGTCCTCGGCCTGGACACCAATTGCTTCTTTAACCTCCCTTCCTTGTTCATGTGGTATCACCGCTGGGAAATGATCAAGAACTTCCTCTTCTTTGCTTTCTTCCTCATCCTCCACAACTTCTTTCTGCACCCTTTCTTGCTCTTCTTCTTCTAGCACAGATTGGAGAGCAAGTTGCCAGCAATTTCTTTCATGAGATCATCTTGCATTTCCTCGCTCGGGCCCAGCATATCAGAGCAGAAATGGGGACAGTTGTGATCTACCACCAGAGTATACACTTGATCATGGTTATCATGGGAGCTTTCCGTGACAACTTCTGCATGCTCCTGTACATTCTCATGATTGCCTTCTGCTTCCTCCTCCTCTACTTGTATGGCAGCATAAAGGTTGTCTTGAGAAAACTGTGCACAAGCTTTCTCAATGACCTCTATGTGCTTCTTTATGCTCCGAAGGGTATCCTCTGTTTCACGAGGAAAGGAGAAGTCAGTTTGGGCCATGGCCTGGATATGAGGATCCATCTCGGGAAAGGATCTCTCAGGTACTCGAGCAATCTGCTCCACGAGAAGCCTCAAGTGATAGTTTGGATCTGGATGTGGAGTGTAGCATGGCTCTGCAGAATGGCCCGTGAAGGCCGCCATGGGTAACTCCAACTCCGATGGCCCTTCTGGTTGTGGGAGAAATTCTTCTCGGTAATGAGGTTGTTCTTGATATGCCCAGGGTCTGATTGTTCTACGTAGTAAGGGGGTTGGTACTGGAATCCGAATCCATAGTCTTCTCCTCCTTGATTGCTGTAGGGAGTCTCGGGGTAATACCACTCGGATGGTGGCGGATACCCCCAATGGTTGGAGAAGCCATGAGGATCCATGATTCAGATCTGCACCAACAAAAACGAAAACACCCAAGTGAAAAGCAAGGGTGGAAAAGAAAAGAAAAATGCTAAAGTAGCAAACTTCTGCCTTTCTTAATAATCTAGAAAGTCCCCGGCAAAGGCGCCAAAAACTTGACACGCTACGACACAACACTTAACAATGGCCAAGCGTAACCAATGAAAGGGACTTTAGTATAGTGGCACAAGTAATAAATCTCGAATCCACGGGTCTCTAGAGTTACTATTACTCAGCTTCAGTTCATTATCTAGCAAACTAGATTAAGGATTGATATACTAAACTACTCTACTAACTACTCTACTAATTACAAGTTGGGAACTCACTTAGGTATGATTCCCCCTAGCTCGTCAATCAGGTCCAAGTTGCAATTACCTTTGGTTGATCTACTGTTGATTAAACTGCGAAAGATCCTAAATTAGCTTGGAATCTCTTAAGCTGGCCAAGCCCTCTTAGACAGAATACCCGGTAGGCAATTAGCCTTCACCGGGATAGACTGCTAAGACGATTCACACAGATCTCCACTACTGGAATGAATTCCAGTACAAAGTAGTGAGTTCATTGACTCTCGCACAACCAATTCACCACTATCAATCAAGGAAGCTCTCTTAACCTAATCAGATTCTATCTATCATAGGTTAAAGCAGAAATCAAGAGAATTTTATCAAGATTCAATTGACTCAATAAGTCATGCATCAATCGATTATAATCAAACAATATAACATCCAAAACTTCATACAAGAAAGATCCTAACATATGGAACTAGGGTTCCTCAAAACCTAAGTGAAGGGAAGTTACTCCATAGAGAAGAGAGAGACTACAGAAATCTGATTTAGATCTTCAATCTCCATCTCCAAGCTCGATTCCCGAGCTCCAATGGTGAAGAAATCCTCCAAAATAGCTCCAAGAATGTTCCCAAGTCGCTCTCTCTCTAGGATTCGTCCCTTGGGTGTTTGGGAACCAAAACCCAGCTCCCCCTCTCCTTTGGCTTGAAATTGGCTTAAAACCAGAAATTCCCGACTCACACGGCCAGGCCACATGGCCGTGTGACTTTCCCAGCTGCCCATGTGAGTGTCCAAATGCGGCGTTTCAATTAGTGGGCAACCAGGCAAGCTGCACAGGCAGAGGCCACACGGCCGTGTGGCTCCCCAGGCTGCCCGTGTGGCTTTTACCGAGCCTTCACATGGCCACAAGGGGCCCCTATACGGCCGTGTGAGGTGCAATGGTGCCCGTGTGGCTTCCCAGCTTCTCGCCAAACGTCCAATCTTCGTCCAATCGACCCCGAACTCGTTCCCAGGCCTTCATTCATGTGCTAGGACCTGAAATATCACAAACCAGAACAACCTAGCGTGAAATCGGCCTAAAACGCTGGAATCGACATCTCAAACGACTCAAGAATAGGGGTAGAAACATGTGCAATTAACGGTTTATCAGACGTGCTCTTTCGTGTACACGACCGTGCTCTTCAGGCCTCCTGCCCGTGCTTTGGCCCCAGCTCGATCGAATGACCTCCAAACACCCTGAATCTTGTGCTTAACCTTTCCTTCAACGTCTGGGACCTGAAATATGAAAAAGTAGCACAACCCAGCGTAATACGGACCAAAAATACACAGCTACGAGCCGCAAACGGCTAAGAACTAAGGGTGCAAACATGTACAAATACATCGTTATCAAATTCCCCCACACTTAACCGTTTGCTTGTCCCCAAGCAAACCAAGTAAGACACAAGGTAAGCTCAAAACGTTTTAATCAAGCATGCTTTAGGGACATATCATATCGGCACAAAACACGTGAATCATACTGGCTTTTGATCATTAACACGTGGACAACCTCAACGACAACCTAGACAAGCACCACAGATAACATTCGAGTGCAGCAAAGTCGAGCAAAGGAAGAGTCTCCCTTCTGTTCACCAACCAACATAGACTTGACTCAACCACTTACTCAAGACAGTCACCTCATGCACAAAACTCAAGATATCAGAATTGAGACCGAGCAATCTAGGTCCTCACCGGGGTAAAGAGTATAGATAATATGAGAAAATGAATCGCTCACTCTCGACCAGTGGGGTCAGGACAATTTGATGCGAAAAATGCGCATGCTTATTCTCTCAATCCCTAACGTCTCTTCACCATGAAGGCAGCCTCTAAATGCTAGAGTTCACATATGGGGTGTCACCACTAACTAATCCGGAGGTCTTAGACACAGGTTCAGATGACTGGCTAGGGTCTTGGACATGGGGAAAAGGTCTTTTAGGTGGTGGAAGTATTCATAGCACAAGGTTCCACAATTCCAAACCCAACACAATCATAGTCAATCAAACCACTTAATTTCTTTCTGCCATTCTGCATTACTCACATTCTTTAGAGCACAAGAGCAAAGGAGGTCACAAAAATGCTAGTATATCCAAGCCACACTGCTAAGAAACACTACTTAATGGGCACTATTCAGATTTTTGGTGGTGACTCTCTTTTGCTTTCATTCATCTTTTTTTTTCTTTCTTTTTTTTCATTTCTTGAGAGAACCACCACCTATGCACATTTTTCAAACACATGATCACTTTTTAAGAACTACCTCCAACCCTCACATTATATTTAGCAGAAACAGCAGAGAACATGTAAAAACCACTTTGTGGAACCTTCTAAGAGATGCAAAAGGGTGATTTTCCATTGCAGACCGAAAGAAAGAAATTGACACGACTCAAAGGGGCTGACTAGGGGGTATGACACACCAGGACAGTCAATTTGGTCGTGGGCTAATCCTATGCCTCCATCATCTTAGCTAATGACAACGTGAATGCTACACATCATGGAAGAGGGAACTATCGCACAAGAAGGAAACGAGCAGGCTCAAATCTCACATGGCTACCTATATGCTCTATCTCTCATTCTGATTTCTTGAACTAGATGCATAAACGATTGTTAAGAACAAGTGATCAATCCAAGTCACAGTTGGTAAGCAAACAGTTGAAAAACTGAACCCCTACACAATTATACTGCACGTCTCAGTCATCATAATAAGCTGTCTTAGTCACACTTTAGTTGTCATGTATTAATTCAAAAGCCATTGACTTCACCAATCAAATCCACAGTGCCAATACGATCAAGCATCAAGCAAACCACAATACTTGGAGCCCTCAAATCTCGAGGTTTGGACAGCGGACTAGGCTCCAAGCACACATATACATGTTCCAATGAATACAAAGAACCCCCCAACACTTAAATGTGACAATGTCCTCAATGGAGCAGAGGGGAGGGGAACGATGTTACCGTGAAATGAAGATCAGGAACGGGGACTGAAAGGCAGACCAGTCAATAGCAAGGGACTGGAAGGGGGACCAGTCCAAGGGACAGAGCTAAAGTCATCAAAACACACACACATTGGGTGAAAGAAACCATAGTTCCAAGTGGACAAACCGAAAAACAAATGAAAGAAAAACAAACCTTGGTGGGGTTGCCTCCCCACAAGCGCTTCTTTACCGTCTTTTAGCTGGACGCCAGTAGGTGGATGCTCAGAGAGGTGTAGGAACATGTGCCTTCAAGAGCGGATCCACATCGCTCTTGAGTTACAACTTCAGATGGTGGGCATGCACACGACGAGTGTGACCACCAGCACTCATCAACTCGACCTCGCCATCCGGCAGGATGCAAGCGAGTGAATACTCGGATGGCCAAGGCGGTCGAGGCTCAGGAGCCAGTACCAGCTCATAGTGGTCTCCTGCTTCTTTTTCAGCAGGCTTAGCTACCTGCAGTTTCGGCCGCCACTCCTCCTTGATCTTTTCCTTTGGTGACGGAGTGGACGGGGGTGGCGGCGAAGGTATGGGAGGGGGGTCCTGCAAAATGGAGAGCACAAAAGGATACACGACAGACTCGTGCTCCTGGTGAGAAACAACATGCAAAGACAATGAAGCAGGGAGAGTATTAGCAATGGAAAATGTTATTCGCTCCTCGCCATCCCTCAAGACTAAGGTCCCATCATGCACATCTATGAGAGCCTTGGAGGTGGCCAGGAAAGGCCTTCCTAGTATAAGGGGCACTTCTGTGTCTTCATTGATGTCCAAGACAACAAAATCCACAGGATAAAAGAATCTGCCAACCTTAACCAGAAGGTCTTCCACTATGCCCCTAGGATGAACTATAGATCGGTCAGCTAGTTGAATGCTCATCCTAGTTGTACTGGGTTCACCTAGGCCTAGTTTCTTGAACAATTTATATGGTACCACATTAATAATAGCACCTAGAACCACCAAGGACCTCTCTACACACAATTTACCTATAGAGCACGGGATAGTAAAACTACCTGGGTCCTTCTGCTTCAACGGAAGCTTGTTCTGCAGAATGGCCGAGCACTCCTTGCTGAGCTCCATAGTGGCCAGCTCGCTCAGGCTTCGCTTCTTCGAGAGAAGCTCCTTCAGGAACTTCGCGTACCTAGGCATCTGAGATAGTGCCTCCATGAAGGGCACTTGAACCTGCAGCTTCCTAAGCATGGACGAGAAGTTTCCGAACTCTGCCTCTAGCCTGTCTTTGTAAATCCTGGTGGGAAAAGGGAGCCTAGGCTTATATTCAGCCACTACTGGTTGTGGCTTTGGAGCTTGATCCTCTGGCTCCTTTTCCATCACCAGGTCTTCTTTCGGCTCTGGGGTGATCTGGGTCACCTTCTTGGCACTCTTCTGCGGTGCATCCGCAGTCACAGTCCCACTTCTCAACACAATGGCGTGCAACCCCTCCTTATTCTGGGATTCGGTAGGGGTTGAC